GGGGACCAGAGATGCTGGACAGAGAGGCCCAGGAGGACCAGAGATGCTGGACAGAGAGGCCCAGGAGGACCAGAGATGCTGGGACAGAGAGACCCAGGAGGACCAGGGGTGCTGGACAGAGGAACAAGGGCTGTGCTCAGGAAGAAATCTGCCATTTGGGGACCAGAGCCTTGATCCCCTACATACTTCCCCCTACCCCTCATCTGCCAACTCTGCTTCAGGCTTGCCTTCCTGATTCAGAAAATGGGACTTACAAGATTATTTTCAGGTTGAGATGAGCAAATGGACTGGTGAGGAAAAACTTCCTCGACTGCCAAGTGCATCTGGGCAGACAGCCAGGACTGTGGAGAAGGATGGTGCTAATGGCCTGTTCTAGGGCAGTTTAAACCTATGGTTCTCAGCAGCTTTGGAGGAATGAAGCTCTTCACGGCGGATCTGCTGGGTGTGGAAAGGGATGAGGCCCTTTGGGAGGTGAAAATGGAGCCTAAGGGGGGCTGTTCATCTTGTTTTCCAGACTGTTGGGCCTGCCTGGGTGACAGGAGGGTCAGGAACAGAAGCTGATGGGGGAACAAGAGCCTGTGTTCAGTCTCCAGCATCCACCCCCAACAAGCCTCCAATAGACCCAGAGGCCAAGGAGCTGGGAGGGAGGGAGGGGACAGCCACTGTACCAGCAACGAGGACAGAAGAAGCCACCGCGACAAGAGTGGGAAGTGTCTTCACTTTGCTAGGACTGAGATGTCCGCCTTTCCAGTGGTACAGCCTGGGGTAGTACACCAGGCTAGCACTGAGGCACTGGGGCGCTGGGCTCCAGGCATCCTTATATCCTGTTGCTTGGTCACACACTCTCAAGACACAAAGGACAATCTGTTTGTCCTCCAGACAGAGAGAAGAATGTAGGTGACCTATTGCCTTTGTGTTGAAGGTGCAACATGGCCAGCCCCAGAGACTGTCCAAAGTGATGGTTGTGTGTTTTTGAGGGGGGCGTTGTTTTTTTGAGACAGGGTCTCTGTAGCTCTGGCTGTCCTGGAACTTGCTCTGTGGACCAGGCTGGCCTTGAACTCACAGAGATCCACCTGCCTCTGCCTCCCTAGTGCTGGAATTAAAGGCGTGTGCCACCATGGCCCAACCCAAAGTGATCTTTGGTTCTTAATACTCATGCCCCAGTACAGTCCTCTCTTGTGTTGAAAGGGGATGATATAGGTAACTGTCTTAGCTTCTTTTCTATTGCCAATAAAACAGCCCGACAAGGCCACTTATGGCCAGGTGGTAGTGCCACACACCTTTGATCCCAGCACTAGGGAGGCAGAGGCAGGTGGATCTCTGAGTTCAAGGCCAGCCTGGTCTACAGATTGAGTTCCGGGACAGCCAGGGATACACAGAGAAACCATGCCTCAGAAAAACAAACACCCAAAACAATAAGAAAAAATACTTTATGGGAAAAAGTGTTTTTATTTCAACTCATAGTTCAAAGTTCACATCATCATTTCTGGGCATCGTGGGGGTGGGGGGATGTGAGTGGCAGAGAGCACAGGAGTGAGGCAGCTGGTCACACACATGTGATAAAATGTACACAGCTATACACATGCACACACGGACAATGCATGCTTGACCGGCCAGATCCGAGTAAGGGCTGTGGCTTGCAGTGTGTCGTTTTTCTGGGTCTGACATCTTTCTGTGCTCAGCAGGCTGTCCCACTGGGGGAGGCTGAGTCGAGAGCACACTGTTCCTTGTCCCAACTGTGCCTTTTACGTTGCCATTTCCTGTGTCTATAATTAAATCAAAACAAAGAATTGTTTGCTTGGGTTTTTTTTTTAATTACATTTATTTATTGTGTGTGCACGTGCCACAGCCAACATGTAGAGGGAGGTCATTCACGTGCATATGCCTGTTTGAACATGTGTAGGTGTGCATGTGAGCATGTGCAGCTAGAGGCCCTGAGCACTGATGCTGGGTGTCCTCCATTATCAATTGAGGCAGGGTTTCTCACTGAACCAGGACTTCACTGATTCCGGCTGGTCTAGCTGGCCGACTTGCCCCCGGGATTCCCTAACTCTGATTCCCGAGTGCTGGGATTACAGTTAGCCTTGAGGCTTGCATAGCCCTAAATGTGATCTGTGAGCATTTGAACTTGAATCCTTGTGCTTGCCGGGCAAGCGCTTTATCCACGGAGCCGTCTCCCTGGCCTGGTCACGAGTTTTCTGCTGCTTCTGTTTGATAGGGAACTCGGTGTTAACTTCACCCTGAAGCGGGTGGACTCTCCACCGCCAGTGCCCATGACCCTTTGTTTAGTTCCCCCCTGCTCAGAGAGGCAGTGCACGGTGACTATTGTCCTTCCGGAAGCAGCTCTTGACTCTGCTTGGCACTTCAGAGCTCAACCTTCAGGTCACCAGGACTGATAACCAGGAGCTGTGTGTCCTGTGTCCTCTGCTCCCGTGAGTGGAGCTGAGGGCACCTGCCTTGAAAATTGCTGGAGCGCTGCCACTTCCTTCCCTATGGTGCCCAGGCTGACAGCCCAATTCCACCCCAATATTCAAGTCCCCATCTCCAGGTCCACTTCCCTCTAAACCAAGTCAGAGCCCCAGGGTTTGAGAAACAAAAACCCGGCTGTGGCCCCAGGAACAGAGTGTTGGTGCCTATACTGTGGAGGGGAGTTTCCAGAGTCCTGCTCCTGCCTGTATGAAGCAACAAGAAACCACAACCAGAATAGAGTCTCTGACCCCAGACACAGGACCCAGAACCCTCAGGCGACAGTTCTCTGTCTCTGTCCTCCTGCAGTGACCAAGGCCATATCTTCACCTTTCACCCCAGACTCTTCCTGCTTTGAGTAATAAAGTTACCCAATAAGGATTGTGGTCAGTTTCTTATCATGCTTGCGGAGGAGGCAGTGGACACTCATCAGGCCCTTCCAGCTCCCAGGGCCCCAAGTGACTTCCCTAAGGAGGACATCCCAGTTTCACTGGGGACCACTCCGGGTAGCTCCCAAACCTGAACCAGGGTGTCATGAAGGTGACGGGACTCAAACCGTGTCCTGAGACCATGTCATCATCGGCAGCAGAGCACAGGCTGGAAATACAGCCTGTTGCTGCTGCCTGCGATCTCTGCAGAGATCTCTGTTCAGTGAAGCTGGGATTCTTCTTCTTCTTCCTTTTTTTTTTAAATTTTGTTTTTTTGAGACAGGGTGCTGAGGGATGTCTTTCTGTACACTGTGAATATATGTTATTCCCATGGTTAATAAATAAGCTGCTTTGGCCTATGGCAAGGCAGCTTAGAGGCAGGTGGGAAATCCAAGGAGAGAGACAGGAAAGAGAAAGGTGGAGTCAGGGAAGCAAAACACCAACAGACCGATAAAGCCACAGAACATAGATTAATAGAAATGGGTCAATTTAAAATATAAGAGACAGCTAGCAAGAGGCCTGCCATAGGCCATACAGTTTGAAAATAATATTAAGCCTCTGAATGATTATTTTATAAGTGGCTGAGGGACCTTGGGGTGGGGCAGGACCAGAGGAATGCAGGACCGAGGGGTTGGGAGGGACCTGAGAAACTTCGGCTATAACAGAGTTTCTCTGTGTAGCCCTGGCTATCCTGGAACTCACTCTGTAGACCAGGCTGGCCTCGAACTCACAGATCTGCCTGCCTCCTGAGTGTTGGGATTAAAATTTTCAGCCCCCACTGCCTGGCTGAAGCTAGGATTCTTGACTTTGCCGTGGAAAAAAATTTCAGGACATGTTGGTATAAGGATGGAACT